TCAGTTGAGCCCTTATGTGATTGTTCCTCTTTTGGGTATATGCCCAAAAGTAGTACTGCTGGGTCTTGAGGTAGATTCCTAATTTTCTGAGAAAACACCATACTGATTTCCACAACGGCTGTACAAGTTTGCACTCCCAAGAGCAATGGAGAAGAATTTCCTTACCTCACTTCCTCTCCAGCATAAGTTGTCATCAGTGTTTTTGATCTTAGTCATTCTGATAGATGTAAGATGGAATCTCAGAGTTGTTTCGATTTGCATTTCTCTGATGACTAAGGATGTTGAGCATTTCCTTAAGTGTCTTTCAGTCATTTGAGATTTTTCTGTTGAGAATTTCTTGTTTAGATCTATACCCCATTTTTTAATTAAATTATTTGGTAGTTTGATGTCTAGTTACTTGAGTTCTTTGTATATTTTGGAGATCAGACTCTGTCAGATGTGGAGTTAGTGAAGATCTTTTCCCATTCTGTAAGCTACTGTTTTGTCTTGTTGGCCGTGCCCTTTGCTTTACAGAAGTTTCTCAGTTTCAGGAGGTCCCATTTATTAATTGTTAAACAATGCTTTATGATTTATTTTTATTTTATGTTCAGTGGCGTTTTGTCTGCATGTGGATCTGATGAGGGTGTCGAATCCCCTAGAGCTAGAGTTACAGACAGTTGTGAGCCGCCATGTGGGTGCTGGGACTTGAACCCAGGTCCTCTGGAAGAACAGCCAGTGCTTTTCACCACTGAGCCACCCCCAGCCCCCATTTATTAATTGTTACTCTCAGTGTCTGTGCTACTGGGGTTATATTTAGGAAGTGGTTTTAGGAAGTGGTCTCCTGTGTCAGTGCATTCGAGGGTACTTCCCACTTTCTCTTCTATGAGGTTCATTGTGGATGGATTTATGTTGGGGGCTTTGATCCATTTGGACTTGAACTTTGTGCATGGAGACAGATATAGATTATTCGCATTCTTCTTCACGTTGATACCCAGTTATGCCAGCACCATTTGTTGAAAATGCTTTCTTTTTTTCCATTTTATATTTTTAGTTCCTTTGTCAAAAATCAGGTGTTCATAGGTGTGTGGGTTAATATCAGGATCTTCAGTTTGATTCCATTGGTCCATTCATCTTCATTGAATTTTAGGAAGTCTTTAATTTTTT